GCCTCTATTTATCAGATGATGCAGACCTGTAGATATGATTTATTACTGAATTATGCTGTGATTATTATTTTGTCAACTAGGACACTAAAAATCTGGCATCGGCTATAATTTTAGCCGGCTGGCTAAGCCGCTCGGCTCGGCTAATATTGGCTATGGCTATAGCCGGCTGTAGCCGTAGCCGTTGCCATCCCTAGTTTGGTAATTCGTTTGTTATGAGTTTTATCTTGAAATTCTTCATATTGGATGCTGCTATATTTGTATATCGTTGATTGGGTTTGTCCTCCCAATTTAGTGAAGTAAATGTTAGTTGCCAGTTTATTGGATTGTTGTTATTTGTCCATTGTCTTATTCTATTCTGTTGTGTCCATTTATTTAAATTGGTGGCCTTAAATATGTCTTTGAGTAGCTTCTTGATTGGGATATGAATTGGATAGTTGTATATTGTTGGTAAGTAGAGTCTGTTTAAAAAGGGTCTTGGGTTAAGTTCTGTGACTAGAGTTGGTATCTCTTTTTGTTTTTTTAATTCTGTGCCTAAGATGGCCGTTATTTTGATGTGCTTCTGATCTATCAAACGATATAGAGTTATTAGGAAGGGTAAGTATGCATTTTCGTTTGGTTTTTGAAGTTGGGATTCGTTCCAATTTCTCAGTTTCTCGGTAATTTTTTTAATACTTGAAGAGTTAGTGAATATTGTTATACTATTATTGTAATTTGCCAGAAGAGCTATGATGATTATTGAGGTTATTGCAATCTTTTCTGGCCTTTGCCAAATTGTGTTACGGACTTGGAATAGTTCACGACCAGTTTTTATAGTTGCAGTTGGTATTACTTGATCGGTTTTGGTTGTTGATATCAATATGTCTACCCTTGTTATCTTTGTTGTTAACTGAGCCATCGTTCATAATTGTTTATTTATATTTAAAAAAGCTTGTGTTATGTCGTATGTTAATCGTAGTTGTTGAGGTATGAATATACCTGATTTTTTGGGAATCCTTAATTGTGGTATTGGTATTTTAAACTGCTCTATGCTGTCGTGCCATCTTTTCTTTTTGTCTACTTTAATTATATAAGTTGTTTGTGGTGAAATTCTAATCTAACAATTTTTCTTGTGACTTTGTGTGTGTTGACAGCCTGTACACTTGCTCAGCTGGTTATTATGTGTGTTTAGAGTCCAATATTGCATTGATAATTGTTGCTTGCTTATTGATTCCATTTTCTCTATTAAGCTTTTGTTTGTGATTATCCATTTATGTTTATAATCATGTGGTAATTTCTGCCATATATATGGATTTGATGCTGGGAGGATTGTTGATGGCGAAGTTTGTTCTGCTATGATATTTTGTAATTCAAAAAACCATTTGGTATTCTTCCTCTTGGGATTTTATGTATATTGTAGTGGAATTGGTCCCAAGTTATAAAACTTGTGCAATCGTGATTTAAGAATTGTTCTATCACGATAGCCTGATGTGAGTATAGATAGTCTTTAATTTTTGAACTACCGTTTATGTTTTGAAGTATATTGTTTATTGTTGTCCCTTCAAATGTTAGTGGTTATGGCCATGCTTGAGGGGGTTCTGGAAACTTATGTTCAAGAAGTGTGCAGACTTTAGTAATTGGTTTGTATAAGTTGATTGTTGTACTGATGTGAGTGTTGCAGGGGCAAGTAATATAGATATGTTAGTTTGTGCGCTGTTCTGTAGTTGTTGTATTCTGATCTTGAAAGTCTGGTACATAGTGTCTAATTGATTTGACAATGACACAATATGATTGTATTTTTGTATTTGTGCAATATCTTGTAATCCATAGATGTAGGGATTTATGATTGTTGAATTGGAGACTCCTCTAGCCAACGAGGCTTTTTGTTTGACGACTTGAGTGTAGCTTGACTTGAGTTTTATACAAGTCGTCAGTAATAGGATTGTATTTTGAAGTTGATATTTAAGTTGTGCTATTAGTACCACATTTATAATATATATTGCTTGTTTTTCGGTAATATGTGAGTGACGTAATTTATTTAGTTGTTGGTTGAAAGATCTGATAATTTGTTTGGTAACTATTGAGTTTGTCTTTGTGTGATCTATAAAGGTGCTGAAGAAATTGCAAGGTTTTGTGCCGTGGTAAATTATGTATTTACTGGTTTTGGAATATAATGGGGTTGTTGTCATTAACATTGTTGTGCAGTAGTATCGATTTACTTGGATTTACTGTGATATTCGCAAAGTTGTAGAAGGATGA